TATTTGCTATAAGGAGCAAACAAGTAGAGGTGTTATAACCTTTCGTAATAGTCCGGGTGTGTCCTAGAACCGATTTGGACCATTGTCGACACCAACGTTCGTACAAGAGCTTGCAATGTTTTTAAAGTCTAGAGCTTCATTTCTGAGGCTCTGAGTAGGTTTACAACAAATATTACACAGACGGCCAGACAGCCAGACAGACAAACGGACAGCAGATATGTTTAAATCCATTTAGAATTTGATCTTGATCAAGAATATATACATTTTCTGGGGGTCTCTGACGCTTCCTTCCTTCTGGGCGTTGCAAACGTTTTGATAAAATGAATATACCCCTGACCCTTCGCTGATACATATAAAAATCATTTCCCTTTTGCGTTAGCATTGCAATATACATTTTTCGTAGATAAACGCAACAAAAGTATGCAACCGGTCGCAATTGTGTATAGCCACAAAGGTGGAATTGTCCTTTCGGTAACGGAATACATTTTCTGCGAAATTTTCTTGCAAACATTTGTGGCTAACGATGGACAATGTTTTGAATACATTATTTTAATACTTTACACCACTTGTTGCAAAAGGGTATATAAAATTTGTGCGGATTCAGAGTCCCTTTCTGTTTGTTCGATGGCCTGTCCGTCTCATTTTTTTGGCGTTCAACTTTTAGATCGATCATTTTAGATTTTCGAGACATTTCGGTAAAATTTCATACACCGACGTGCTTTGGCCCAGTAACGAACGCTATTGAAAATGCTTCGGATCGGAACACTTTCTCGACCACTTCCTGTATAACGCTTTATTTTAAAAAGTCATTACATCAACGGTTGCATTAAATGAAGTTGTGTAGAGTATTTAATAGTGAACCATGGCCTACTATAGTGTTTTTAATTTTTTCATATTTCGTTTTCTGGGAATAATTTTAGAGCTTTTTGCTTTTTTGCTTTTTTGCTTTTTATGGAATCTCTTTAGACTTTGGTTCTTAAACTTATTGTTAAATATTTTACACATTTATTTTATATAACGAAACAATTTACGTAATTAGAAGTAATTAACAAGATTTAATTAATTAAAGTATCATTAAGTTATATGAGATGCCAAAAAGTTACACTCAACCTAAGACGAATGTTGAATACTCGTCATCCCAATAATCGCAAAAATTTTGCAGGGCACTACTTACTTTTCATTTAATAGTTTGCGAATAAAAAGATACAGTGAGTTCCACTAATTTTGGGTCTCTCTTCGCCCGTCAAAATGTAAACGCTCGTTAAACCTGTGCCATTGTCGAAACAAAAAAATTTTTTTGTACTAACTTGTACTAATAGGGCATACATATTAAAATAGAAAAACAAAAAAAAAAAAAAAAAAAAAAAAAACAAAGAAAACATTATTCCAGTAGACAAGGATATTAAATAACTTTAGGAACCTAAAAAACAGAGCGCCATTAATATTGGGCTTTCTTCATATAACGAAAGATGAAAAAATAAAAAACAGCGTATTATTAAATTCAGTGGCATATCGTTTTCACTTAATAATGTCATTTAAACGTTTTGACATATTTTGCATAATGTTACCTATGTAGGAAACGGGGACCTTACTTCATTCTTCCTGAAGTCTACTTTTCACATATTGGACGGAAAAGATTTAGTGTTCTCGCACGTGGCGGTCAGATTCATCCAACATAGGTTTGATGGGGTTTATGCCTGATGATTTATGGAAGAGGGTAAAGCACTTTGGGGCAGTTATAAAAGAGCGATTCTTGAATTAAGCGGGACTTAGGCTTGCTTGAGTTTACTGTCTTGGTAGAATTTGAATGTTTCTAAATTACCAAGTTTGTCGGTTTCTTCCAAATTTTCTTTCAATAACCTAAAATAGCTTTCCTTGTTTACAATGCCAACCGTAAACACCAATTTTCCGACTTCATTAAGCCAATGCATGCCAAACTATAATATGGCCATTGTCATGCTCGCCGAAAGCCGTCGGTACAAAAACGTAATGGGAATGTACATATTTTGGAGGAGCTGCATCCCATTCAAATTTTCTACGTTCATTTCGTATATTGACAAACAAATTTTCACCGATTGCAAGAAATAGTCAAAAAAGAAACTCATTTTAACGTAACGTCTTTCCCAAAGTAAGATTTTTCATAGAAAGTGCTTTCAGAAATCAATCCAATCCGTTTTGGGTGGCATCCTTGAGTCAAAATATGTTATTATGCGAAAGCTCAGCAAAGTCTATCAAAAATATCGATTTATAAATTTAAAATACCTGGGCAAACATAGACCGATAGACATTGCCAAATCGAATCAGAAGATTGATATAATAGAAAATAGGTGCGCTGCAACTCTCCTTCTAGGTGTAACGTACGTAATATGCATTTGCCACCTGTGATATAGAGTATAAAAAGAATCAATTACGATGGGTTTCATCGCTGATCAGCGAACTTTGTTTAAGATAACGAAGAAGACACATTCAATCTACTAAGAAATCATTTCGATCACTTACTGCAACGACATGGACTTCAATAAAGTACTTTGTAACTCTATAAGAGAATGTAACGATACCCCACCCATGCCCCCTCTTATCATGATACAAGTAAATCCGTTTGCACATTTTTTCAAGAAATCAAGACACCTCTAATCATATGAATACAAAACTCAATTAACTGTTCGACGAGAGCAGTCTCTTCAAGTCGCGAGAGCTTGAACAAAAATAACAGTACTTAATGAACTGGTTTAAAAAGTTGCCTCTCCGGGAAGATAGCAAAACGTTTATGCCACGAAAATGAATTATTATTGCGGAAGTAATGTGTCTGTTCACAATTAAACAATTCGCTAGAAATTGTTAATGGCTGACTCATACATACTTGCTGAATAGATATGTAATGAGTATTGTATATTAATACCATTCATTGCTTTATATTTCCATTGTATATGAATATTTGCTTTTAAACAAAGAGAGTTATTATCGTAATCATTGCTTGCATGTCATCTAGGCGCAGTATTACGGAGTTCGCCGCAAATATTAAAGATCGCTTTTCTTGTATGAAAGTTTCAAACGTTAAATCTACGTGCATTATGGATAAAAAATTGAAAAAGAAGACAATAACGGCTTGCAATGGCCTATAAAATACTCTACAAAACCCTACTGTTATGCATATGACTGATGGTATCACGATATGATATAATTTGCTGTATGGAAAGCGGTCAAAGAAGTAGTCCGACCCGTACCGTTTTCAGCAGCGTTTCTCCTTGGGCCAAAACACGTCAGTGTACCAAATTTCATCGCAATATTTTAAAAACTTCGGTCTGTACGTGCAACCCAAGAGAACAAGACGGCCACAGGCGACTGGGCTGCACCCAGCTGCAATACTTCACCAAACTGCAGCGCTGCACCTAACAACCGTATTGCAGCGCTACACCTACTGACTGTGCTGCATCTAGCTGCAGCGCTGCACCTATCGACTGTGTAAATGCAACGTAACTGCAGTGCGTGTGATAGAAGAGCAAAAGCGACCAAGTCAAGGAAAAAGAATCGGAAACAATCAGGAAACCATTAAAAAGAATAACAATTTCTTTTTTATATATAACGAAAGAAATCTGCAAACTTTTAATGTTTCTCGCGCGAAAATTTGAAGAAAATGGCACTTTAGCTTATAAAGTAAACTTTGCATTCCTTTTCAACGCTCTTTCTATTCCCTCAACGCACCAAAATTTTTTACTCCCGCCTAAATATAAATCGTTACTTGCTTTGCTTGTTAACAAATCGTTGCAATTTAGGCAAGCTACCATATAGTCAAAGATCAACATAACTCCGAATAGAAGAGTAATTTTATTCTTTTATGTATAAAATACTTGCATACATTCACGTCAATGTGTACAAAAGGAAGGAGAAACAATTTGTAGGTGCGAGAATATATATATATGTGTATATAGCTTGTTCCGGCAATAGAAGCGTAAACAACAAAGTTATTTGTGGTTTACTGAAGGTTACCTAACGCCAACGAGTAAAATACGAGATTATAAATGGCTATAATGTTGTCTTCTTTCTTGCTTCTGTCCTTTCGCAATATTTAACCATAAAATTGCATACCATTTCACGATTAAGAATGTGTTACAAAATATTTTGAGCGAAAAAAGAAAAAAATTTAAACTTTAGTTTCTAAATAAATTATTGCATGCTTTATTGCATCTCTTTAGTATTCAATATTAGAACTTAAGAGAGTTCTAGGTTGGTTTGTGTCCGAACTTCACCCCTAACCCATTGAAAAGTCATATAGAGATACAAGCCCTCTTTTACTAGTTTGAAATTCAATCAAACTCAATCACTTACCGCAATATAACGATCTCATGTCGATTTTTATTATAATCCAATTTCCAGAATTGAGGACTGTGCAACGGAACTATTCAGTGTATGGAATGAATGTTTATGTAAAAACCACCAATAAAATCAAAAACTTTTCAAAGGAAAAATTGACTGCAAGTGGCATTGCAAGGCGCAAGGTTCAATAAAGTGAAGCAATCCAAGTACATTAAAATTTCCTTAAATCTACTCGACTTTCTTATAAAACGTTCTTCGTCATTCCAGATATCATCTGATTGAATCATAATTTCACAACAAAACCGGCCCACGCAGAGAGAAAAGGACGCAGGGTTATTAAAAGTAGGACGCAACTATCAAAACAGTGTTGTATAAAATTGTAATTGCCTAATATATTCATTATGTATTGCCATTGAAAATAAAAAGTACGATAAAAATATATATAGAAAATAAACATTACGCGCGTTTAATTATTTGAATTTTAAGCAATAAAACCCGTAATACGAAATCTTGTATACATATATTTTTCAAAACTTTAATAAAACTGAAAAAATTTGATATATATGAAATACTTTCTCTTATTAATATTTTTCACCCAAGTTTTGTGATTTCAAATGCAACTATGTTTGGCTTTTTATGTGTATACAATTTTTTTATAAGGTCTGACATTGTCCACCATTTTAGTTTTAAACGTTGCCACAATTGAGTTTTCAACACCACTACAAGCACGTCGCGCACGAAAGACCCCGAAAGTTATTGAAAAAAACTGCAGCAACTCGGTAATCAACTAAGTGTTGACCAATTGATAAAAATTTTGCAACAAAATCTGGAAACACCAATTACCAAAGAAATTCTGTGGCCCAATAACACCACCAAAACAAAAGGTAAACAAAACAATGAGTGCAGCAAAACGAACCAAGTATGCTACACTGACAACAACAGCCAATGTGAAAGAGGAGATAGTGCCTGTACTTATACACGATCCGAATTCTGGTGAAGAGCCCCAATACGCTTATGCTACTTTTGCTACCACAGACGAGGATGAAGTCGCTGTAACTACTTTGGACGACCAACACGGTCACCAGGAGATTGTGGATGCACAGGAAGTGATTATTGACGAGCATGGACGGGCTGTCACCATACATCAATTAGTTACTGAAGACGGCAGTTCGGTGGAAGCAGTAGAGACAGTCGAAGACGTTGATGGTACCCACACCATTGTGCATATTGTGCCGTCGACTTCATCGTCTTTAGGTGATGAGGGCGGCAGTCAGGATGAAAGCATTGGTAGTGCCGCTGATGAAGAATATGAGATAACTGAAAATAATTCTGGTGATCTGGGTCTACGCACTGGTAACAAAACATTTTATTGCCCAAAATGTAATAATTGTTACAGTGCTGCCGGTTCCTTGAAATTGCATATGAGAGCCTGTATGCGTCAGAAGCCCGAAGTGCCCGAAGAAGATCGGAAATGCACTATATGCGAAAAGGTGTTTAATTCTGCTTCCTATATGAAAATGCATATGCTACGTCATTCAGGAGTAGGACCCAAGCGTTGCCAACGTTGCTATCGCAAGTTTTTAGATGAAGAGAAGTTCAACGCGCACATGGAACAACACAAGCAGCAAGATAAATTAGAAGCAGAAGCGGAGGCCCTGGCTGTTCAACATGGCGGCAAGAAAGTTGTAGTCAAAGAGTTCAACTGTTCATTTTGCTCACAGAATTTCACGGTTGTTTTTGAATCAGGACAGGTAAAGCGTCGCTATGCTTGTGATCCCTGCCGTGAAAAATACTCGAATGCCGAAATGTTAAAACAACATAAGCAAATGGTCGAAGAGAAGCGTGAGTTTCATTGCGAGCGTTGTGGTCGTAAATTTGTATTCGAGGGTTTCTTACAACGTCACTTGCCTACCTGTGATGGCACCATTAAGCGGCGACGCGATATGAAGTAAATTGAAGGAGGAGACGACCTATTATCGATAATTAATTCCGTTTATAATTCAATTGCGTTACCAATTCTTCTGCTTAATATATCTTTTCGATGTTAAGATTTTTTTAAGTAGTTTTTAGTTAAGAGGTTCCGAGAAGAATTTTCTGGATTATCGTCTTGAGTTGAGAATCTTTGTTTAGTTTATGAATTATATACGAATAATCAATTATTGATTAAGCGTTTACGCTAAACATTAATAAATAACTTTCACAAAACCAATCAAAGGTTTTTATTGAATTATTTTCATGTTCTGATAATAATTGCATAAGAAATTAAGACCACAATTTTACATGTGCACGACTGTTCTGTACTTTTGAATCGGATTGAGCAAAGAATTCCAAGTAGGATGGAGGTATCAATTTATCTTTAGGTATAGTCTTAAAAACAGGTTCACCATACCAAGTGCCAACCTACATTATTAAAGTAAAAAATCAATGAAAATATGTTGCCAATCTCTAATTCTAATCATTCATGATAAGTAAATACCTCCCAGCCCTTAACGTTGGCCATTAGTTGAGCCTCCTCGTCCCGATTTCGACGTAATTGCTTAAGAAATTCGCGGTCGCGTTCTGCTATCAAAACAGGAAATATGACATTTTGTGCCGAACGCATTTCAATATCTTCACGTAGTACCATCTTAGCATTTAAATAATAAATGTACATGCCGATGGTTGTGACAGCTCCGTAAGCAGCAAACATTTGAAATCCTAAGTTTTTTTTATAAAACATCCAATAATTTATTGGACGTTGTTAAAAAGTTTTTCTCTCGCTCTTGAGAACTTACCAGTCATATAAGTTTTCGCTGGCACTCTAGCGTAAGGTATCTTTTTATACCCACCGGGTGGAGGCATATCTTGCTTTTTGGCAGCTTCCATGTTTTTCTTTAACTAATATTAAAATCTTTGTTGAATTATAAAATACAATGAAAAATGTTTCATCTTCTTACCCTAACTGCCCGAAAAAAATTACTTCACTATTATTAACTTTTGCATAACAGTCAGAGAACTGCCAGCATAAATGTTAAATAACTATTGCGTTAAAAACAGCTGTTATTTATTAAGGCAGGTTGTAGGTTATATCTTATTTCGTTTAATCACCAATTTTTTCTCTTTTTTCCCGTTTTTAAATAAATCAGAATGTTTTAATGAACGTAAAAAACCCTTCATTTCGTTTCATAATTTTTATTGCTTTTTAATTAATTTATTTATAAGTCTTTTTTAATTATATTTATATCTAAAGTTGCCCTTTTTATTAATATAAAAGACATATAGTAATTATTACATAAATCCTTTTTTTTTTTTAAGTCGGGATAAGTAAATTAAGAGGTCCTACTAAAAGGAAAAAGATTTCTTAGGGAAACAGAGAGAACACTAATTATGAAACAAAAATAATTTCCGAAGAATTATTAGACAGGCTGGTCGGAGAAGTGGAAGGTTTATTTTACAAAAGCTTCTGGCGGTACTTTGTTTTCCTTTTGTAATTTATCGAACACGAAGGTGGCATGATTGTAATCCCAATTGTTTTCTTCCAAACATCTGTAATGAATATAAAAGTAAAGCAAATATTATCTCGTTTAGATCACTATCGTTATCACGTTTTAATAAGAGTTGTATAATAAATTCGTAATAAAACGGGTCATGCAAAAATTTTACATACAGTAGAGATATAATGAGAAAAAAATTGTTGCATCGATTTAATCAATCCGGTAATAAGTCTTTCTCGAAATCCCTGTTACTTACTTTCTACTCCACTCCATATTCATGTGGCTTTGCATAGACATCGCTTGAACCATTTGCATTTTGGTAGCGTCATCAGGTTGGTTTGCTGGGAGATGTATTAAAGCTGCTGCAGCCGAAGTCTTGAGTAACAAAGAAAACAAAGAATCGTTCTCATAATCTTTGAATTAATATTAATTCCTTTTTTTTACCGTGGCTTGTTGATTCATCTGTAATCTATTTTGTACACTGCTTAAGCTATTTGTTGCCGCCGTCGTGGCAGCAGTACCCGCTGCTGGCATCGTCTGTTGTGGTTTGAGAAAAGCTCTTGCTTGTAATCCGACAGCGCTTGTTACAAATATCATTTCATTCCGTATACAAAAACCGCCGCCAGCTGGTACAATAATAAATTGCCTTTGAAAATAACGTATATCGCCCGTTGGGTTGTTGGTTGATTCGAATTCTTTGAACAAACCCCCAACAGTAAAACATATAAGTTTGGGCTGGACAAAGACAAAAAAATTGATGTTGAGTACGTCAATGCAGATTACTTGAGCATTACACTTTTTAGGTCTTAAGTACAAGTGCAGTGGACCTTTATAGAACATAAATCTCGTATTGTAAAACATACCGTAAATAAAGTTAAATCCACGGTAAAAGATTGAGGATCATGTTGCGTTTTTGGCCATTCAGCCAGAGTAGAAACAACCGGTAAACGTCCGACTTTTAATTGACGTATTTTATTTATTTCCTCATTATTAACAATACGGCGAAAATTACGATTGAATTTCCAAAATGATTGAAGTCTGAAAGCAGACGTTAAAAGGGGTATCAAAAAAAAAAAAAAAAAAATGAAAGAAAACGAAATTCAATGTTGTACGTCTTACCTGCCAGCTTGACTGGCTGACGGCACAGAGATAGACATCATGGCCTGCTCATGATAGGCATCCAGTAAAGGTTGCCGGTTATCGGAATCGAATATTATAAAATACTGTTCCAAAAATTGACGTATTATATCCGCTCCGGAAGCATCACATAAGAATGAAGCCTTAGCCCTTGGCAAAGAAGAGGTATCATTGACATCGAAAAGTATTTGAGGTTCCAGCTCCTCGCCATCCTAGTTTTAAATTAAGAAAATTTATAACTGTTTCTTTCTTTTTTAAAAAATTGGAAAAATTAAAAAAAAAAAAAACAAAATAGTAATGAAGATTAGATGTCATCCCATCCAAAGTTCTTCAATAACAAAGAACAACACTGGGATAGCATGGATTGGATTCAATTCGAATTGCATTGGTTGCAATTTGTGTATTAAGTGTTCCGTTATTCATATAGTTGCTCGTAAAAAAAATATAAAATAAATAAACAGGTAAACTTCTCTCGAAGGCCACTTATGCGCGATAAGTAGTATTACCTTAAGGGAGAGACAGTCTTTACCATTAAAATACTATTATATATTTCACTTACCAGTTTCACAAGTTTTGGAAATTTACGTCGCACCTCACTGCAAGCAAAATATAGATAAGTTTTCAAAAATTATTCCTTTCTTCTTCTTTGAAAGAAAACGAGACGAGAATGTATGAATAAGAAGAACTGTACAAAAAAGTTTTTTAATAATTATTATAATGCATTATTAGTGGAATGCGCTCCACTTAAAGGATCAAATAGAAAGTTTGCTGTAACATGGAAAAAGAATACTTGCGAAGAAAGTTGAAAAACACACTGAAGTGGGATACAAAAAGACATTTGTTGAACATTCTTTCTCTCTTAAAGGTCGATTTATAAAAAACAAAAAAATTTTGTTGCTCTATCTTTGTTAGACCACAAATTTCTCAGAATGGATTTCGATTATAACTTCGCGTTGTTCGCAGCTAAAATAAACAGGAACGGAAGTTAAAGGCAACGTTTGACCAGGAACAGAGCCCTGTTTTGTTGTGAGAAGTGAGACGGACGAAAAAAACATTATCTTAAATCGATCTGGGACAGATATTAAAGACAAATGCAAATGCATTTCCATTCAGCTCGTTGAAACTTTGACATCGCGTAGCACTGGCAGCTTTAGAGCTTATGGGAAAATTACAACGGTTTGTGAATGTCTAACCTTCTTCTTCAACACCTAGATATAACCAAAGCTCCTTTAGCCGCTTTAAACGATTATTGATTTACTTCCTTTTGTTTCATACATTTGAAGCTTTCGCACATGATATATTTCATAGCGAAACACTTGATCCGCAATCGATATATTATACACTTATAACATCAATTTGCCTATATACCAAACAATACAGCAAAAAAAAAATAAGACTGCGTTGATTGTTCGAAAGAAATCCTCAGGCAACAGTTTAAATATAATTTGAGACGCCATGAATTCTTTAGGTGGCCAAAAGTAACACATCAAAAGACCCTTTAAAATGTCGTTTTCGAAAAGAGAAAGACTTAATAATACGCGTACGTAGTACGTTGGAATGGAAAAAAGAAGAAAAATGAGCTAATGGAGACTTTAAAGAAGCATAAGATCCGTTCAGCTTATTAATCAAATGAAGTAAAATCTAATGAAAGTTCTTTTCAAAGAAAGTTTTACAAAACTGATTTGCGCTTACTATTCCATACCATGGAATAACTTAACCTAATTTTTTAAATTACCTAAAAAATAAGGCGTGAAACCTTAGTCTCTAAATAAATGTGAAAAATTCCCCTTACATGAGGCGAAATGAACTTTGTGGGCATAGAGTGTTTAAATTTGATGGGTAATCGACACAGTAAGAACAGACTTTTTACGCGTAAGTACTCTTCTAAAAATCCGACATTTCAATTTCGTTTCTTAACACTTTGTTTGTAAAATTTTGTGGAAAAATATCAAAAGTTAAAAAAAAGATTTTTTTCTATTTCTTGTTGAAACTTGTTAGCAAACAAAGTGTTAAGAGCATCTGGCTCTTTTTAACTGACGGTCAATAAATTTTGTTCGTTAAGTAATTGTTTAACAATTAAAAAAAAAAAAAATAAATCACAGCTTAACTTCACAGAAGAGGCCTTAAAATAGAATTAATAAAAGTTCGGAGCCACAGTTAAAAACATGTAACCAATTATAATAGCACTTAACTCTGGCTCTGTTTACTCTTCTTCTTATACTATAAAAGATATTCAATTCTCACGAATAGCGTGAATCGTGGCGTCTTTGCAGAGTGAGGCTGTGATTTTTTATGGAAACTCGAAGAAAAGGCTAAAAAGGTTTCGAGGATCTTTGAAATATTTTTTTTGCATTTTTTGAATTTTTTTTTTTTTTTGCTAAAATTTTATTATCATCTTTTTTGATTATTCCGTTTTTTTTTTTGCTTTTTTTTTTGCTTTTTTTGGCGAAAAGGCATTTAAAAGATTTTGTTTTATATATGTCTTATTATATATAATCATATAATCGCGTTTTTAAGATTTGCTTTTGTAACCTTTCATTCTTCTTTTCGCATTTTAGTAAGTTAAGTTTTCAGTTTGGTTATTAATTCTTTTTAAATTATTCATTTATTAAATTATTTTAGCCAGTTTGTTATTCTGCCTTTCTATTTATTTATAACAATTGATATTTTAATTTTCAATATGTATACATACTTTAATATGTATGTATATATGTTATTTATTATATAGTTTACAGTCCGACCGCTTCAAAAAAAAATTCAAATTCAAACATCGAACCTTTGAATTCTTATGATTACATATCCATGCCAGTTAAAATGCTCGAAACTTCTTTCGCAAAGAAGAAGGTTCACCTTTTGCGCAATCAAAATAGCTCAAGATCCATAGACCATAGATCTGGTCCAGGCGTTGTTTTAACTGTTAACTTTTACTATGAAGCGGTCTTGCTCCATGGACTGATAGCAACTTTTTTCTTATATTATAACTTTTAATTTGAAATTATTTAATATTTAACATTATCGTTTACACAAAGGCTACAAAAAAATGTTCTTCATCTTAGAGAAAAAAAAAAAACACAATAAACTCTATAAATACGTTTAAACTAATAAATGCCAATTTTCCTTTCATTTATTTATTTATTTGTTTTTTTTTTCTTTTTGTTTCGCTCAGAATTTTTTTTTCTTTTTTTTATGCTTGTTTTTTTTTTTGTTGTTTTCTTTCTTTTCTTTTTTTTTCGTTTTAGTATCTATCTTTTTTTTTTTTATATGCTACCTATTTAGCCGTTACTTTTCAAAGCGCTTACTCAAATCCAGCTCTTGTCCCCTGCTTATGTCTCAAAATTTATTGACTTTTTTACAAAGCCTTAAATCGCTAAAAGCGATTACTACAGGACTTAAGTTCACTGCTAATTTCAACTTAATTTAATCACTTATATTCACTTCACATTTACTTCAATCCATTCAATGTATTTGTCGTATTTTGGATTTAAGGAATGGTCTTCATTACAATTTTCTGATTAATTTCCTTTTGAAGGAACAATATAAAAATTTAAAATATATACAAAGGTCTCGAATTTTTGCCTCGATATTTATATAATTTTATTTACTTGATCGAGTGAACGTTTTTGTGTTGTGAAAGCTTAATCCTAACGCGCCCGAAGACAGGTAAATTGAATTTTCGATAGACGCTTCTAAAGGAGTACGAAGAGGAATAATTTATGAGACTAGATATTGCGGAGGCCATTAAGGGAAAAAAACACTGACTCTCTATATTTCGAGGACAATGGAAGAAGAACTCATATTTTTCGTTTGATGTATTTCTAAAATAAATTGCAAATTGAACCCAATTGGGGAAAAAAACTTTCATCGAAAATTTATCAACAATCGTATTTGTAAGCATTTTAATTAATAGCTACGGATCATTCAAATGATTTTTGTCGTCAGCGGCTGTATTGTAAAAGTGAGTGACTCGGAGAACAAATGTTTTATCCGATTAGTGATTGCAGTGACGATAATACTTAGGACAAAGACGGGTGGCGAGAAGATAGCAAATACATTACTGAAAGCAATAGTTTAACTTCGAAGTTTTGATTGGATGAGCCTCTGTTCACGGTGTTGCGGCTTATCTAGACAACGTCAGCCGAAACAAATGAGAACAAATATCTCAAATTCGTAGGCAGTTGGCCAGTAACATAGCGGGAATGACTCTCCTTTTCAACAATCTGTCAAGTCATTGCTCACAGATTCAAGGCTCAAGTACTGTAGAGCTTACTTTGCTCGTAGCTGTAATGACTGCACGCACCTATTACGTTGCGGTCCATACGTCCTATCTCTTTTTCTTTCCTCTCTTCTTCCTCTCTTCCATCTTACACGAATCCCTTAAGTGATAAAAAAAAAAAAAAAAAAAAAAAAAAAGAGGGCGAAATACCTATTTCTTCTTCTTACTATCAATTATGCCTATTGTTTCCTTTTTTCGTTCTTATCGTATTTTACCAGGGTTAAAGTAGGACTTAATTTTGTGAACCGAAGAAATATGTCGTATCTAACCAATAATATCGCCTGATATTTGTCCAGATCGTAGTAATGAAAATAATAGGCAAAACAAATTTGAATTGAATTAAATTACGAACATTTTAGTGGACATAGTGTGTAAGTGCTTTGAAGTAATAGTATGGACGCGAAAAAAAGCTAGCTATTCGGGAAAGGTTTTATAATTATATAATTATATATATTTTGTAACATCTGACACGAACTCCTGTGTAGATTTCAACTTTTCGCATACTATGCATTAATTATTTGCAGCAAACTCTTTTAAGTAACCTCATAAGACATAAACGTTCTAAATAATTGTAGCATCGTTCCGATGATATTGTTCGATGGATTACAGATGAATCACTTCATAGTGAAAGAAGGATAGATAGTACGGAATCATCAGATTTCCAAGTTGTTGCTGAGTTGTTTGGCAACTTTGGCAAAAAAATAAGACGGTTACACCATTCAGGCATTGAATACCCTCTCAGCATGAAAAACATTCTCAATAAAACATCTCGATTAACAAATTATTTCATTAAGAATACATGATACCTGACATAGAATGAGTGATCTTTGTAACGTTGTCGCAAAGGATTCGATTTTAATACCAATTCCATAATGGGCACATTACGTAAAACCAATAGATGTGCGAGGGAAGCGATCTGAAAAAATATTAATATATTTATACATATGTTTAATTATGTACACTTTTAATTGTACTTAACACATCTTTCCCATTTTTAATTGCATATTATTTTGTAATAAAACGGCATCCTCTACACTATTCACTTTCTTGAAAAAACACTGACTAATTTTTTTTTTCGAATATGACCTGCGACTCAGGGGATGGCCACCCCCCCAATACGTACTAGTGAAGAAAAGACTACGACACACCGTTACACACTCTACATCACCTCATTTCATACAGTTATTCATATCAAGAGAACTTTTGAAATTCTGGCTTTATACGGACGGGTAATGGTCGAAAAAGTGATCCTATCCGAACTATTTTCGATAGCGATCACTCTTGAGCCAGAACAGTTCAACGTAATAAATTTCATCGAAATATCTCAAACATTGCAATCTGTACGTTGAACACAACGAAAGAAGACGGACAGACAAGCTTAGATCGATTCTGTATTTTCTGCTGTGTAATAAAAAATTGGTCTTTTTCAAGTTCCTCTGGGACACCCACACACTACTCAACTCATTGTACCTCCTTGTACCGCAAGTGGCGTAGGGAGTAAAAGTGTAAATTAATACACACCAGCTAGTGTGAAGCGGATGTGTATACAAAAACTCGTATGTAAATCGAACATTTTAGTAATTGCTAAAATAAGTGAAGGATGCCTCCTTGAGAATCTGCCCTAAGAAGAGGGAATCATTTCCATTAATTAACTTACGTTATTATCACCCAGGTAGAGTATTTTTAAATTCGGTAAGCGCTGTTCAACGTTTTTAAAACTGTCCAATCCTGATAAGCTGTTTTCATTTAAATTTAAAGCCTCCAAGTCCGGTATATTCTTTTCGATGATATCTAAAGCGGCCGACATGACTTGTGAGCGAAAAAGCCCACAAAATATATTGCGAAAGTCGGGATCAGCGTGAAACTTGGACATATCCAATGCTTTCGTTTGGGGATTATAACGTTTGGCCATAACTAGCTTCATTTTTTCCTTGAATTCTTCATCCACGGAGACAACTGGGCAACTAGCGCGCACCCGTATAGATAAACGATAACCATCATGCATTTGAACATTGCGCTCAACGCTCTGCAAACGCTGAGCGATCGAATAGTCATCGACAAAAAATTGCACACAATTCTTTTCGGTACGCCAATAATGTGGTATGAAAATCTCTGGAGAAATGACATTCAGTAGGGCACGTATAACATCATCTTTGGAATAACGCTGAGCAAATTGTATCTGCAATGAAATGAAAAGATCGAAAAGAGTAAAGAATTTGAATAATGTTGATTTGATAAACTGAAATCTGTTTGATTGGGCTAAACGCAAAGTTCTAATTACAGAAACAGATTTTTTCTATTTTCTATATAAGTGATTAACTATGAAGTATGAGCATTAGAAACCAAGGGGAGGGGGAAACAAAAACAAAAAATGTATTTACATTTAGATAAAGGGAAAAGACGATTTATAAAGACCTCTACACATTCTGTCCACATTTTGGTCGGTCTTAAGCTCAAATAGCAGAGAAAGCAAATTTTTTGTTTTTCAATTTTTCCAAAATAAAGGGAATACAGTATCAACAGCAATCGTCTTTGAGACTGTAAAAGAAGTTTGTGAAAATTTTTAAGAAAGTTAACGTGAATAGACAGTTTAATCTTTTTCATATTTAGTTTTGGCTTGTCCTTGAATCCTCTTCGTCAAAAAACTCATTTAATGCTAGTTGTTATTTATGTTAACGAAGCGGGAAATGGGTTCAAATAGATTCAATTAGATTATCATTTCATAACGAGAAGGGACACCGAGGAAAGGCCCAAACAAAATAAAGGGAAAGAGAAGAAGAAAAGCATATTGTGCAATGATGATGGGTGTGCTAGACTACAAACTGTCTTTTGTTTTTAAAATATATTTATTTATTTATTTAATTATTTATTCATTTATGTATATATATATATATATATAAATTTTTTTTTTTTTTTATAATACATTAAACGTTCAACTGAAAGTGGCTGTTTGTAGTAAGAACAAAGTTATAGATGTGGTTGATAGGTAGGTGGGTAGGTAAAGAGTAGTGCTTTGATCACTTGAGCGATAACATTAAATAACAAACACTTCAATATCGTGTGATTAGAGACCCACACTGATAGAGACAGACCATTATTTATCGTTCAGTTTACGTATACAAGAAATACCAAGCGAAATAAATCATTGATTATTAAATTATGAAATCATTTTGCTAACGCACAGCTTAAGAAAAAAAAAAAAAAAAAACAAAACGAATAAAATACGATAATTTATAAAAATAAGAAATTAATTTAAAAAATTATTTAATTGAAAATGTTCGATTGTTGCGGATGCTTGAGGAAGAATCGAACTTCAAAAAATAATGAAATTACTTCAGAGAGTTCTTGGACGGTGGGTCAAATAAATAAGAACTTTGAGACAGCAGAGTTATCTCTGGGAATCTCAAGAAGAGTGCGTATTCCTTTTTCTAGTAAATAATAATAATAATAATAAAAACAAAAATAAAAAAAAAAATCATTAAATAATCATTAAAAATTTTTTGCATTCTTTCTTATATATACATACACATATATATATATATATATATATATATATCTGAGTAGAGCACTCTGGCTTGTACCTTACCCACGATCGTCGAAACACCGCCCAGTTTGATAAGCAGTGTACGCACTTCTATGGATAGTGATAAAATGTCAAAAATCGATATGCATATCAATATATTCGAAGATGAGCGCTTCAGTGATATGTCAGCGACAATATTTAAGAAAAATAATGAATCTTTAAGCAATGTAAGCTCAACTTACACCAATGACAGTGAAAAGCCCAATTAATTAAGTTTGAAGTTTTTTTTTTTTTTTTTGTTCTAATGATCAAAAATATGTATAAAAATTCTTTTCAAATTTTGTTACAAAATTAGCTTAGCGACATTGTAATATATATTTATATAAACATATAGCCATGTTGAACTCTTTATAATTTTGATTAAAAAAAAAAAAATGAAGAAAAACAAACGTACTTTTCATCTTAACACGGTCGACTGATTATTTTGCAATTGTGGGTGGGTGGGTCGCATTGGGCGCTGCAAAATGTTTCTTCTTACGCGGTCTTAGCCAAAAATCCAGGAATTTCTTGTCCTGCTTAAGGCCATTAAAATCATTTCCTTCAAATTAAAAGCGACATCAATGGTTCCTCTCGGATCTTTTCTCGTCTATAGAATCCCGTTATATTTCGTACGAGGCAAAATACTTTAATGAGTTTGTTGAACATTTTCCCCCACGAATCAGGATGGAAGAGTCGCAGTCGTTGCCTTAAGACAGCTGGCGTTTAAAATCAGCGAACGCGTAAAAAATATGAAAAACGTAATAAAGGTATTTTAAAGAACTCGAGTATACAGGTGTGCGTTGCGAATTATCACCAAATGTGTTCCACATGTCACAATTTTGTTTCAATGAGGAAGCAATTGTTTCACAATGTGTTTCACAAAAGAAAACTTTGTACTATTCATGGGTAGGATGTCTTATGAAAAATAACAGTAAAAATACATTTCTCTTGCCATCGTTTAATAAGGTTCAGTATTCAAAACGTTGTTCTTTTCGCGATCGCTTCTTTAGAATATATATATACTTATATATGATCGGTTTAGACTGCAGACTAAAATCGATTTGTGCCTTATTTATTACAAAAACAAATAAAAACACTACCAATACCTTCACCACCCTACGATTATTCATATAACGATTTTTCAAAATAAGACGTTCAATGGGAAGTGGTTGAAAAAATGGTCCTGAAAAGGAAAAATATCGTAAAACTTGCAATCTGTAGAATAAATAAATAAATAAAAAAAAAAAAAACCAAAACGGACAGGCAGACAGACACGCTTAAGTCAAATCGGGAAGTGATTTTGAATCGATGGGTACAATGAAAGTTGCACCTATCTCTAGTCCTTCTGCCTTGTACCACAAGCGATGTAGAATATCACAATACTAATAAAATTTGCTATTGTTAGATGCTAGAAAAGGTAAACTAAAGGTTAGCACAATATTTTATAAAAAACCTTATCTGTATGATGTCTCTTCAACGTCTATCGACAATCAATATATATATATATATATATATATTTATATATTTATATATTTATATATATATATGGGCTTTTTGCTTTATAAGAAAATATCACCACTATTTAGACTAGAGCACCTAATAAATACATTACGCGCGCACCTGTTCTTTGACGATGGAGTCAATTTACTTATCCAAGTTCGTTCGGATCGATTATGCGTACACACTCATAATAAAACTGGAAATATCAAATGCTCTTTGAATTTATTGAATAGAGGAACGAACATCTATGCAATCGAAGCGACATCTGTTAATTACTTCTTCCCATTAAATGTGTGAAATTGCTTAGCTATTCATTAGAATTTCCACTGTTTATAAAAATAATTTTGCATTGTAATGTCTGTAGGAATGTTATGGCGGTTTATTTTGCGTATCAGTTGATGGTGTCAAGCAATGTTTTTTATTTATTCCCTTTTTTATTGTTTTCTCTTAAGAAAGGCAAAATAAATTTTATTCGACTTCAGTCTTCGGATACTCCTCAGGCATATGCTTTGTTTTAAGTTTAAAGCTAAAATATTTGTATTATAGTACAAACTTGACTAGCTTTTCAAGCGTAAACGTGATATTTAGCAGGGATTATCTGCACGAAGAAATTAGCATGTGGTTTGCATTGTTGTTCTAAAGAATATTAAGTGAAAAAAGATTTCTAATAAATAATTTTTTAGTAATTGTAGCTAAATAGAATTTGAAAAGCGAGTTTTTTAACTAACGCATAAATTTTGACTTGTTTATCGGGACCTTAAAGACAGACAGCAAGACGGTAAGAGTCTATTTGATATCGAAAGATTATTACAAAAAAAAAAATAAAAATAAAAAATATAAAAAAAAGCACTATAGTGGACCATGACTCACTATTAAATGCCCTACTCCACTTTCGCCTGATCCAATCATTCAAAAGCCAATTTTCAAAATAAGGCGTTATATGGATAGTCAACCACAAAAGCCAAACCACGTCCGATTATCATCCATCAATATGTTGAACAAAAGAATACAAGACGGACAGATGGACAAACAAGTTATAATTGGTATAATGAAATGGTTGACCATCTCAAGTCCGCTTGTGTATTGTAAACATCCGCAGTCTTTTACCCTTGGCGTACAAGTGTTGTAACGTTTACAAGAAAGACAAAAATAAAACTTGGCAATTATTCGCGCATACACCGTAGTTCTTACTCACGTTCGAATTATGAAAGGCATAGAGGCAGCCTGATTAGATCAAGTTTTTACCAGATATATGCAATTTATGACGTTATAATGGTTTAACCCTTTGAGTTAGATGACATCTTTAGACGTCCATTGTATGTGCTTGTAGATGCAAACGATGTACATAGCAGTCTCATATTTTTAGCATTACGGAACAAACAAAAAGGAGTGTGTTTTTTGCAAATACTCACTCGCTGATTGTGAAGTGAGCGTCAACTTGTTAAGGAAAACAATAAAACGAGATACTAGGTGAGGTGTAGAAAGGACTTCTCTGTGTTGTTTCAGACTCGTTTACTTCCCCTATATATTTTAGGTATAGATAACTTTGGCATTGATTTTTGTACGGTACAAGAAGTTCTAATAGCTTACACGTTGTCAGATATTACATTCAGCTTAAACGGATTTTGTAATACTTATCCTGAACCTATTCGCTCAATATATCTATGGAATAAGCGAATAAATCGATACCGTCACCGTTACCGTCATTATCGGTTCACGTAGGCAATAGTTTTTCTTAGTCTTTAAGCATTTTTTAAGCTTTAACTTTACCATATGACAGCAGCGGGTTTGAACTTCACGTAAGAGTATAAATTTTCCCATTGAAGTAGATTCCGTTTTTGAGAGCAGTAAATAAATTGGGTTCCGGCCAAAAAAAGCCAAAGGACGCTAACCTTAATTTAATTTAAAAGATAGTGCGACCGGATTAAAAAAAGTTTCTCTCTTGTAATGCGTACTCCCTTTTTTTTTTTTTTTTTTTTTCTCCTTTTCACTAACTCCCTCCTTAATTGATAACTTGAAGAAATAACGTAATCTTGACTCTATGCCGACAAAAGAGTTGGTGTAATATAAGCAATGCAATGTCGGGCAGACAGTCGACAAAGGGGTATGCAAAAAGTTAACGATCCATATATATAAGTTCGTTATTTGTTTTAGACTTATTCCTACGGCCAACACTGTAGTATACTCACAAAATGCGCATAAAGCGTAGAAATATGCATCAGAGAATCGATAAGGTATGTGTGTTCTCTTTGATTGCATTTATCTGTGCCTGTCTTTAAGAGGCAAAACAAGTTTTTTCTCAAAACGTATGACTAGTTTGCAAACAAGTGCGTAGATTGATAAAAACAATCGTTGAGTATAAGCTGCTGTAGATTAATTTTATAGACACCGTGTACAACAAAAGTTTTCGCACCAACTCTAGATTTCAATGCAGATCTCTGGTCGGTCTTTGTTTTTGCTGTAGCAAAATGGTGAAAATAGAAAGTCAATACTTTCATTTAGCAGAGGTGCTCTCTCAAATTATGAGAATTCTCCATTTTTCTTCTGCATCAATACAAAGGAAACTTCGTGAAAATATCTTGCATGGATTCGATACGAATTTCTCATCTGAAGAAATCACGAAACCTTTTACTGAGCACTATGTGTATATAATTCTCAATAGCCATTAAAAAATGTGTAAATATATTTTTCGCTCAATATCGTTTAACTTTTCTTCCTCTTTTTGCGTGGTGTAAAAACTTTGAATCGCTCCAATCGCTCCGTAAATACACTCAAGTGCAAAATGTTTGCATTTAATTCTGAACATTCTTTTTAAAGCTTACCCCAAATCCATTCACCAGTATAGCAAGGAGCTTGATTGCTCAATTTTATTATTTTTAACACTAAATGAAGAGAGAACGAGGACGAGAACGAGAATAGATTGGATTTTTAATTCAAGCAGTCCCCATCGTCCCGTGCTACATGTTATATATGAATATTGTTGATCAGTATAAGATTTTGAACCGATGCGTCTAATCCGATGGTGGTCATTGGTGATTAAAATTTACGATCACGTCAATTCAGAGAATGGGACGCCTACACACATACTCTTGATCTCAAAGTGTGTTTTGCGTGTTCACCTCTTTGTGCCCTGTGTTGTTGCATTAAAGCCAAATAAATATACTCCCAATTGATGACTGCAGATTAAATAGGAAAACTGGTGTAAAACGTCAACAAACAAGCCTAGTTAGGTAAAAAGCTGACAATATCCTTTTTAGAAGACAGAATTCATAAGCTTCCTGCACGCAAACGGTCTAAATAGTTAAGATTCTAAATTCGATGCAAGCCTTTAACGAGACTGGAAGACGGGACCTGAAAATTTCGCATCAAATTTAAAAAAACTATTTAAAATGCTCAACTCAAGTGTTTTCCCGCATTATTATTAGAATCGGAATTTATCTATAAAACCGGTTATTTTACGATGTATTAAGTAGAGGGTGCGTCACTTTTGTTTCTTTATTCTATTTTTTTAGTAATAATTGTCACCCTACATTCTCTACTTGTAGTGCGAGGGCCTATTAAGTTTGTGCGGATGTCTACAATGCCCAGAAGGAATTAAACCAAAAAATCCACGTTCCACTCAATCCGACCAAATCGGGATCACTTCCTCAACCGATTTAAAATTGTCTGTCCCTCTAATCACCTAGTTTTCTTCTTATCCTCAACGTAGAGGTGGTCGCCATTTTTGAGATATTTTGATGAAATTTGCTACACTGACGTGTAGTGGGTGGTCCAACGACAGGCGTTATTAAAAATGTTTCGAATGGAAGTCTTTACACGAATACCTATAGGGTGATGTAAAGTACTTAAAGCTATATAGTGTTTTTACTTGTTTTATTATAGTGAAGTGCAATGACGTAAACGTATATACGGGTAAAAAAGAAAACATTTGATAAATGAATGCCCCAGGGTATGCTTGCTCATTTTAATTCATTTGAGTAGATTTATTTGGCCGCTTGGCCCATAAGGTAGAACGACGAACTAATGAAAAATGATCATAACGGATATTAAATATTTTTCTGATTTTGTATTTTTTTTTCCAATTACATTGTTGCAATATCGCTAATGCGACATATTGAGACTTTTTCAATGTATTGATCATCATTGATGTTAACATTTCGTTGCACAAGAATTTATACACAGGTACATACGCGCACGCACACATTCTTTTCAAAAAAATTTCCAAATATTAATTCATTTTGACATACACTGTTATGTAGAAGACCTATTCTCTTCTCTTAGAGAGTTGTCGCTCTCTTCAGTGCGGGCAAATATTGCGAGAACGAACTTTTTCATTGCAAGCAGTTGCCGTCGCCATATGTTTATTCGTACGATTACTCAAATATTTCTTGATAAAAAAAATATTAAAAAAACAACTATGCATGCCTTTGGATACATGCATTTGTATCCAGAATTTTGCCTATTATTTACCTTTACATGCATACGCACATACATATATAAATTTAGTTTTTCGATGTGTGTTTATTTACTTTTCAAAACAGAGCCCGAGACAACAAACCCAGTCATATAAGATATAATTGTTCGATGAGAAGGTATTTTTAATTCGATAAATGTTTTTCTTTGACATCAGTTATAAAAGAGTATTGCTAACGTCTAAACAGTGAAAGCCTGCAAATTCGCTTATAGTGACTCATATAAAATAAATTGACGATGGGTTGTTGCAACTCTAAGGATCCCAAAGAGGAGGCAAAAAAATCATGGAGCCCGAAAAAATTAAACAAGGTAAGTCAATTTAAAATTCAATAAAGATATAACTAAAATCGTTCTATTTCACCGGAATAGATTTTTTATAGATAGATTAATTCTAATACTTTGAACAGTTCAACCGAAAAGCAATGTCATTTTTCCTTATAGTGAATTATAGTGACGCGGTCAGGTCGTCACGTCGTGTTTGTTTGCTTCTAATGAGTTTAGCGATTTCTTTTTCATTCAATTTGTCGTGAACGCCTCTACAATGTTTACAAATTATTAAACGTTTGTTTATTAACGTTCATCTTGATGTTAAAAAATTTCAATGACCATTCGAAATACAAATGCATGGAATAATGAGCGATGCGGTACGGTAATGCTGGTAATCAATTACCTAAAATTTATCAACTATTTACTATTCTTTGAATCTTGCCACAGAATCAGCGAAAGAATTAGAAGATTACTGAAAGGTTAAGGGAATGATTAACGAATTACAATTACATCCATTTTTGATTAAGGCAGATATCAGAATTATTTTTTAAAAGCGACAATTTGTTGGCATATTACAAACAACTATATAAGATACGAAGTGCTACAGACAGTCTTGGGAGACAACGGGTTCGAACTTTGCCTGCTTTTCCAGATAATTTTTATTGTATTGCGTTAATCTATCTCTCCTTTAAAGTTTAACTAAAAGAAATTAATCGAATATTGTTTACAGCGAGCTTCGTCCACATCTAATAGGGGATACGATACTGGCACTTTTTTAGAATATAACTACCCGCCCAATTTTGGTCATGATGGAGGTCACAGTTCCTCGCACTATGTTGATGGAGGGCATTCTTCAATCTTTTCTTCTTCGAACAATCATTGCGGTAGCGGTAGTAGCGGTGATGGTGGTGGTGGTGGTGGTGGTGGGGGTGACGGTGGTGGTTGTGGTAGTGATAGTGGTGGTGGTGGCTGTGATAGCGGTGGCGGAACTTGTGATTAGCGATAAGGACTGTGAATCATGTTAATAACTTGATAACTAGGAGTACTTTTTTAAAGAACTTTTGTAAGCCAGGAAAAAAAATTTTTTTTTTCATAAGCATTTATATATGTCACTGTACGTCTATAAATTAAAAAAAAACAAAAATGTTAAATAACTTTTATACCTTTACTTATAAGCTCTTTTGTATTGTTTTAAACCGGAAAAGTAAATACTTTTATTTAAATAAATTCTAATTTAACAAGTTTTCATTGCATTTATTGCGCGAAATTCAAAACTCAGTGTATTTAAAACAAGATTCTCTGCTTCGAGTCGAATAATCCTTAACAGGATCAAATTAACACAGTTAGAGAGGAGAGACTTAGTTAAAACTAAAAAGAAAAGAAATTAAGGAAGGGAAGGTTGATAGTAATACATGTAAAAGAGACAGAGGAAATTATAAGTTAAAATATAATATCGATCGCGCAGACAGACAAACAGGTGCGAGATAGATTTTTCGGTCCACTATTCAAAATTAATTCCTAGTAATCTCCCGTAAGCTAGTTCTTGCAGTAAGACGTTGAATTCGTTTATGCTGCTAAGCGAAATAGACGCGTGCAAAGTAAAGCATATTGTGTGACACTTTGCTGTAAAAGTGGATTGTAAAGGTAAATCGTATTTCTTGAGAAGCAAATGCAATACGAATTAATTTTTATAACAATACTCGACGGGTGGAGGATGTTATTGTAGCGTCGGCTAGTTTATCGCTTTGAAATCAGGGCAAAGCATACAAATTTATTGCCGCACCATTAGGTCGGCCGCAAAAACGAATGCTTTAAAACCCCGAAAAAAAAGTACTGAGAGACGCGGAGCAATGAGATAATCCTATAATCGCATGATAATTTTAGCAAAACGGGATGCCTTCAAATCATTTAAAGCAATTTCCAATCAACTTGGGAATGTTCTATCATCTGTTCGTTGGCGATTATTAGGCGCTAATCTATCAGGAAGAATAGCTCGGAAAGTTCCGTTGCTCAGAAAAGTTATTTTCGAGAAAAAGAAATCCTTTGTTTGAGACCATAAGAATTGGTAGGGAGCCGTTGGCGAAAAACGGTGGAGAAATATACTTTGCAGCGATGAAACAAACATAAATTTGTTTGGGAATGATGCGGGAAGAATTGTACGTCGGCCAAAAACGAAAAGAGTTCGACAATAGGTTTACTACAAAAAACAGTGAAACACGGCTGAGAAAATCTTATGGTATGCAGCAGCTGATTTTCTTGCGAGCGTCCAGGTCCAATACAATTCATAGAAAACTCTGTGGGTGCACTTGTATTCAGCAGAATTTCAGCAGAATAATGATCCGAACCATTCGTCCAACTTGGCGAAAGTCTGGTTCCACGAATTGCAGTCATTGAATGACCAAGTCAGTTTACCGTCCTCAATCCTATTGTGAACCTTACTGGAGAACTATAGACACAAGTTTCGAAACTTTCCGGCAGCAATAAAAAACAAATTACGCCCAAGAGAATCGAAACTGCCCTTAAAAAGGATGGTGCTTATACCGACTATTGACTCTCCGAATTGATTTCTAAGAAAATGGTTACTTTTAAGTACAAAAAATTGGCTTATTTTTAAATATGTGTTTGTGCTCCTATTGTACTGTCCACCTGCTTATACGTGATATTTATGAACTGAACATCTTTTAAGTTTTTATTTATACTTAGCGTAACTCTAGAACTACTTTTAAATACGGAAATATTCCTATTTTGTAAATATGCGATAAATATAAAATATGACACGAAAAAAAATGGAAAAGAATATCCGTAACCAACATACATCTATTTTTCTATTCAACTGTGCATATAACAGAGCGTATTTCAACAACCTGCACGTGTGGGGATATTCGTACTTCGTCCTAATAATGTGGCTGTCTTTAAACTACAGATTTGTCGTCTGATGTATACACTATCCAATGCGAATGATGGTGGCAAGGGTACAAGGAATACTCTCGCGTATGGCTGAATAGGGCGAATACTTTCTGTGTTCGGCACATTCATACGCGATCGGCTTTCTTCGATACTTCTATTAACCTGTTTTTAAACAAACTAATAGACACTCATGGGTAAATGGATATCAAATCTTTGGCTGGAGTACTTAAAATACGATTTTCAGCGCATATTTCTGAGCGCTGCAAAAAACAGACAAGGCAGCCTGCTATGCTTTCATATCTCGGCATAAGAAACTGCAATTTGAACTTTTTCGTCACAGTAAACTTTTCTTATTTGTACTGATGATAAAATCGCTAAGAAAAAAAAAAAACAAAAAAAAAAAATACATACGTCTTAGGAACGTAATATGTATATATACATTTTTTATATATGTGTATACTAAACTGTGAAAAGATTGTTTTTCTTCCATAAAGAAATTACGCGTCTAATACAAATATAAACAAAAGTTTGCCTACAAGTGACAGTTTTCAGTATAAATGCGACTGCTGACCGATTAACAAGCAAATAAATTATAATAAATCTATGAACAGAGAAAAGTTGAAAATACCCGACAATGTTTAAACAATCAAATCTGATAATGCTTGCAATCTTTTATATAGTATTTTTAAAACTCAGTGAAGCCTATGTTTTATATGACGACATTGCCGTCACTAGTGAGCCACTTAATGCAAACGATGTTAGCGATGATTCTCCTCATATTGGAAAGATTATAAAACCTTCTGATATCAGAGAACCAAAAACATTACAGGAAATTATTAATTATGTCGACGTCAAGCCCAAAGCAGGAGAAACGCAGTTTCATATTAATAGAGAGGACGAAGAGCGAGCAGATGATAACCGCCAAGCTGTATCTTACAATGAATTAATTAAATATCTATCATTATGGGAATGGGCCAAACAGCAAAACTTTTACAATATGTCGCACTCGCACCCATCGCCAACGACAATAAAGAAAAATCGTTTAAATGAAATCGTTTGAAGTTGAAATTTGATATAAAATAAAGAAAACAATTAAAAAAAAAAAAAAAAAAAAAAAAAAAGTTGAGAACATAAAAAATTTTAAAATTTAAAAGGGTTATAGATAACGAAAGCGCTATAGAGATGAAAAAAAGAGAGTGAAAAGAGCTAAAGCTTTATTCTGTAAACGAATCCCATAATCTTGATAAGGCATGTGCATCCCTTGTCTGCTTTTCTCATTGTTTAGCACAATACATTATATCACGCACACATTATAAAAATGAAATAAATAATCATAATTATCTTAAGGTATGTCAAAATATTAAATTACAACAGCGAATTGAACCTCTCATGAGCATTTTATAACATCAACAAGAAAACGTGATTCTGAATCGATGTAAGCTTATTTGTCTGCCTTTCAATCTAATTTTTATACACCGCAAGGTTTTGCTCCAAAGATGAACACTATTGTAAAGAGGTTCCATCATGATTTCCCATGTAATGAAAATGGAGAAAATATCATTGGACAAACTAGTCCACGTCCATCCTTAGTTTCTTTGCATTGCTTATTTGCCTGTCTTTATCTAAAGTTCCCAGTCTTTGCATTATCCATACAGCAATCTTCTCTTAACTAACTACTACACCGATCTAAGGCAAACATTTTGATAAAATATTCAATTATTATATAAGATTTACCTATAGATGGCTGATATTTTCTTAAGGTAACTTCATCAATTCTCCGCCTTCTCCATCGCAAGCCTACAGTTTATACTTCGTTTCACTCTGTTAGCTAATGAATTAAACACTACACGACGAAAAGAAATGTTAATTAACTCCGTCACTTCTCTCCGCTCGCGCAACTATTTTATTCCATATACTTACAGGGGCTTTTGAAAACATTCAATCACAAAAAAAATTCTATTAAAACAATACTTCATTTTTATTATCTTAATTAACAATGCTAAAGATGCGTACGTGCAATCTCATCTTGACCTAATTCCGATAAAACATCCATACTGCCTTTACCGCTATCGGGGTCACGAACACCATTAGTTACTGCTTTCGCTTGTACTGTTTCTGGTTCATTCTGCTTCAAACTATCTCTAATTGTTTTCGAAAGGTGTGGTGATTCTCTGCCGTCCATACTAGATGTGACAGAGTCGTTGTTAATTTCAGAACTTGTGGCTGTAATTACCACCGTGGGCATTTGATGATGCCGTAAACGTTTGGCTACGGGCGGCACAAACAATTCATATTTGATAATTGTTCGAGTACAATCGGTATAAATCCGATCGTTGTTATCCCAGTGCAATTTTTCAAAGATCCACGAGCATAAACATCCCATTAAAAAGGTTATCAGGAAGCCAAGCACTGAATACCACATGTAAGAAATGCGATACAAATAAAAATAGTCAGTCTCCTGATCTGTTGCCTTTTGCTTCATATTGGAAGGAATTAATTGTGGTAGGAAGATTTCTTCTATATGGGTAAGCTTATGAGCGGGACAATTATCTGCATTCAGGGGTAAAGTTGGTATAGGCGGCCTAGGTTGGCCAAACCCCATCCAAAATGAGAAAGCCAGACTTAGGGTCAAACCAGCCAAAGCTCCTTTTTGATTGGCCCATTTAATATACATGCCGAGGGTGAAAAGACCCAATAAAGGACCGCCTATAATACCAAATATGGAGAGAGAAGCTTGCAAAACTCCGCCAAGCGTACCTGCTAGGAAAGCCAAACCAATGCATAACGTTCCATATATCACAGAAAGTAATTTCGAATAATAGGCATATTTCTCATCATTAAGTTGCCCATGTTTTCTCCAAGTTAAAGTAGGTTTAATGTAGTCTTCCAGAGTTACAGCTGCTAAGGAGGAAATCGCGGAAGATATCGTAGATAAACTGCCAGAAAATATACCAGATACGAATAGTCCAGCCATACCTGGCAAATGGCCCATAGTGTCCACTACAAATAGTGGTAAGAGTTGATCTCTTGAATTTATTCTGCCCTCCAGTAAAGGATCGCAATTTTGGTAGTGAAAGTAAATGCATAAGCCGGAGAAGCATGTAGTTAGACTCAGAACGATTAAAATGGGCATACTCCACCAAAGGGATTTGGCTGATTCGCGTAAACTTCGCACCGCTAAAAGGCGTTGAACCTGCGTCTGATTTACTCCGTATATTGAAAGGTAAGTAGCCGCTCCGCCTATTATTTGAGTAAACCAGGTATGCCGAGTGGTAGGATCAACACTAAAATTGAAGAATTCCAGGCGCCCTCCTTCTCGTGCTGTCTCCCATATGGGTGCTAAGCCGCCAGCCTCAATTCCAGCGCATATTATCACCGCAAAAATGCAAGCAAACATTAGAACAGACTGAAAGACATCGGTTATCAAGACAGCTTTCATTCCTCCTAAAGTTGCATAGAATGTGCACACTACTCCCACTGCAATTATGGAGAATACCAGATTTAAGCCGGTTACAGCTTCTAAGGCCAAGGCAGGTGCATATAAAACTATGCCCATATATAAAATCATTTGTAATGAAAAAGCCAGAGAGGCGTACAGACGGGTAGCAAAGCCGAATCTCGTCTCTAAGTACTCGTAGACACTAGCCGTTTTTAATCGATAGAAAACCGGCAAAATTAAGTACGCAGCAGCTGGCGTGGCCAGTACGTAAGCCAGATTGATTATCACAAATTGAGTGCCATACTGATAATTTTCCATTGAGACGCCCAGCAGTGTAACAGCCGACATGAAACTGGCCATTAAACTGAACGCAACAGGCATTACGGGCATAGATCGATCAGCCAGCAAATATTCTGCGGTGGTTTTTTGTTGACCTCCCGTTAAACGATAGTAGACACCTATAGCAGCCGAGATTGTCAGAACTATAACTAACACCACGTAATCCCAAACGTCAAACGAGCCGGCCATTGTGTAATATTTGACGAAAAGTAAAGAATTACGTTTCCTCTTTTTAAATGATTCACTTTAACTTCGTAGACTCATTTTCTATTTTTTTTTTTAATTTTTTTCTATTTTTGTTTATTGTACATTTAATTAACGTTTCACCTCAAAGGCATAATAGGCTTCAAACTTTCATACCTAAATCTTCGCATCATGGAACATTTTGGATATTAGTTGAACGTTTGAACATCGATTGCATGTACAAGTACGTATCAGAGATGGAGAGAATTTCAAAAAGAGAAAAACGTCCTTCGCTCTAACGGTGCGACCACCATACATAAGAAATGTGCAAATAATCTCTTCATCACTATTAATTAATCATCGTTTTCGAGATATATAAAAAAGTTTATCAACATATTTAGCATTTGAAACTTGAGGAAGCACTTAAACGTCCGAAATTCAAGTAAAAATGGAAAAGATGTAAGAAAAAGATGTTGAAAAGGAGTACCGCTTTTGGCTACAACTTATCATGGTAGCGGTATAAAGTCGATAGACTTAGATGCTGGTGCTTTAACAATGACTTTGCTCTTAGAATTTATTTCTCTGGCTAAATATATTGTAACAACAATAATTTTAAGCGAATTATTAATTGTACGCTACAACATTGATAAATGAATAAATAGCTTGCAAAAATACGTCACTTTTAAAGGCGCGCGACATCGCTATGGAAATAAACGAAATTGTCGAGTATGAGATGAAGATTGATTCATAAAAAAGCAAGAACACATCCATTACGCATCGCTGTTTTTGCTTTACTATCCTCGAACTGGTGAGAGTGGCTGGGCCTCTACTAGTTCCAATAAGTAAGAAGATAGCGTTCGTCGGCGAAGATTGCAATCGCGTCGCCGTTATCATAAAGAAATTGAATTTCTATCCTTTATAGTTTTTGTATTTTCGTGGGAAAATGTGGAAATTTACATAATGTGTGTCTATCGTTGCCTATGGGTAAGCAGTAATAAATATGGAAAGCAATGGTGTTCTCACTTTACGCTGCATTGTAGAAGTATCATTTGGCTAGTTTGGGCAATTGTCAAACTCTCCTACCAATTCGAAGGGAATGTCCGCATTTTCGACGACGGATACTACACAGTTGAGCAGACGAACAGACGAAATACATGGCCATGTTTAGGTAGCATTTCAAATTTGATTCTGTGCAAGAACATGTACACTTTATGAAATTTTTTGAGGTTCGTTTCGGAGGTATTACGGCAACGCCCATGAAATATACGTTCAAATTTTTATAGACTGAATGAATAAAAAGTCAATTTTCCATTTCGTTTTAAAAACAGAACTATTCTCAATACACGCGAATTTGTAGAGGTGTCCTTAGACCGGTTTTGTCCTTTTTCAATACGAAACTGCGTGAAAGACCTTCTAATATTTTAACCACATTTTTGCGAATTACACAAACGGACAGAAGGACAAGCTTAATTCGATTCAGAATTTGATGCTGACTCCCTTTCTGAAGTTTCCTTCCGGGTATTGCAAACATTTTGACAAAATGAAGGAATGGTGAACGTTACAGAAAAAACTCTCTGATCATATATTTTAAAAATTGGGTTAAATCAGAATTGGTCGACAAGATCGCGATTCGAAACAATGCTACTTCCTCCTGTGGAAATTTTTTAAAGTCTTACGTGTTTGCCGATAAGTCACAACGCAAACATTGAGCTTGAGTTTGAAGCGGAGATCGAATATGGTATTTACAAGCATATCGACACGCAATTTGTTTTTATTCTAGATTTCTTTTAGCAAGGAATCCAATCTGCTGTAGAAACACCCTCACTTTTCTGAATGATCTCAATGGCCCAATATGTAAGCATTCCGATAATGTTGATAAAATTCGTTTCACTAAACATTATAGCTTTGATATTGAAACACTTTTCGCTACGAATCTGTAAATTAACTCAGTAATTCCTGTGTTGTGCTGGATGGCGGTGACAGAGCTGTAACCATTTCTTGAATTTATTTGCGAAAACTGCAACCATTTTCAATAGGACTTCATAGTTTGCATTCCCACCACGAGTTCAAAATTTCTACTTAAAACAAATATACATAGAATATTATTCAATATCGAGCAAGCCGCGTAGAATTTTTGAAAAAAAGAAAGGAACATTTATTTCGAAGAAAATAACAAGTAAATTTATTACAGCGTACCACAGCTCACCTTTGCCCTAGACAACTACGCTTAGTATATTTATTCATATAACGAAATAAGGCATTATATGTATGGGAAGTGGTCGAAAAAGTGATCCGGTCCGATCCGAAAACGAATGAAATATAAACAATAAATTAAACGAAAAATTGTTGAAATTATTCTCTTCTCCGATACGTTACATTCATTGACGTAAAAGTTAAATAGACTTTAATTAACAATTCAAATGCATTTCAAATGGAGTCGAGTTCACTTTAGAACACTTTACAATAAATATATATATATATATATGTATATCTATTAAATTTATTTTATTGTTCCTTTTATTTAATTAATTTATATTTGGTTCACTGTTTTTTTTTGTTGTTGTTGTTTTTATTATTATTATTATTAATTAATAGTTCACTTTTTTAATTATTCTTCCCCTTTTCGCAATTATTTTTGTGTTAGTTTTCTTTAGTACTCTTCTTTAAATGATTTTTAATATAAATTCGCCATTTCTTAATTAATTTCTCTTTCTTCTCCTTGTCATGTTCACGTTAAACAAGTTTCATTGACAATGAAAATATGTATAGAAAAAGAACATGCAAAACACGATATTATATCTTGGCTTTTTCTCGTGCTAATCATGAATTGATTTGATTGATCGATGGAATTGAGAATTAATTCAATTATTTACAATTGTGTCTTTTATAAAACTTTCTATTTTATCAAATTTGCCGGCGTTAAAAAAAAAAAAAAAAAATTACAAATAAATAAATAACACAAGATGTTTAAGCTCTCGCAATAGAGTTGAAAGTGTTGTTAATATAAAAACATGTAATACACCTGAGGTCCGATCAAAAGTGTTTAAGATTGCAAAGCTTTTGCCAAATAATTATAAAAAAAAAAAAAAAGAAAAAAAAAAAGAGAGATATAAAAGATAAAGAGAAACGGTTGATTAAAGTTTCTTTCGAATTTTAATCGCTTATATAGGAAACCTACCAAACACTCTACGATATTATTCGAAAGCTGAACTTGAAACCAAAAATCAAAACAATGTTGAAAATATGTTAACGTTATTCTAACCACTGAACGTAACAGGTAACGAAAGAGCATGTCTTTCTTCTTTTATTTATAAGTTTTTTTCTTATTGTTCGGATTTTTCGAAATTCCTGCACAAGTAAAACTCGCAAACAGTTTCGTACATTTGTCTCTAAGCAAAATTTTTCTAAATAATTAGGTTGAGGCGGGGAACTCAAAATTCGTAAATAAACATATTTATACGCTATTTGTTTTCCTCTTTTCTCATGCATTTTGTATGAAAATCATCCGGAATTGTTGGGAAGAAATTAAGAGATTTATTTATTATGTCATCACTTTTATCCAACAAACACTCCACAGGTGCAGTAACCCTTATGGAGACAGACGAACGATAGAAACTTTTTTACCGGACGGGCTGATGTCATGCCCTGGACTATTGTACATCATGTCCTACCTACGGTCTCTTTCGGATAATCCGTATGATATAAAAATTAGTATTAGTAGTGATATTAACACAAATATTGAAAATCTATTATCTATGGCATAACGATAAAAGCGAAAGCCATTCATTTTTATAATTGAACTCTAATTTCTCTAGTCTTTCATTTTATTCCTTCTTTCTATTCATTTCAGCTTTTTTCATCTTTTCATCCATTTTCGAAGTGTAAGCGGTAAACGATGATATTCAGCAAAAGCTAGTTCACTGAATGAGTGTTGCTGACGTTGTTCCATTTGAAAGAAGCTTTGATAAATAGCAAAGGAAACTTAAAACGGTCAGATATTATACTCAGGATAATGGAGAGAAGAGTTTTGGATAGCTAAAAAGCTGGGAGGTAAGGATATGTAACGATTAACGGGAAAGGGAGCAGAAATTGGAAACGCTTACGTGTGAACAGTTTGCGAATATTCGAAGAGGTGAAGAATGATATAACTAAAGAAACGTTCAACACTGTATGCATTGACGAAGAGAAAAGCAGAACAATACTTTCTGGCGGAAGGATCCACAAACTATAAGATGAGTTGTTCACTTTTTCTCTTTTGCTCGCGTCATGGGAAAAAGTGATCCATCCCTGGGCACATTTCTCTAATGGATGGAATTCTCTTTAAAAGAAGCGAATAAAGTTTTCTAAACGAAATTTGCGATAAATTCCGAACTTTTATTATTAAGAGCACGCGATTATATTGAACATACAATAAAGACATTTGTAGCGAAGATCAAGATTTCCTGTGAAGTACACCCAAAAGTATTATCAATATAATCGACAGAATCAATGCAGAAGTAGCGGTTTCCTTGGTGAACAAGACTCGTATTCAAAACTTTCGTTCCTTGTGAAGGATCGTTCTGTCATTTGAAATGCAATACTTTTTTTTTTTTAAGGGAACAAACTGAATGTCTTCTTGGCACTTTGTTCTTGGAGATACCAACAACCCCTTTTGGAAGCTGGTTTTAAGCGGGCAAAAATATATATTTAATATTATCGGTTATAAGGCAATATTCTTCAAATTTTGGTAAATTTTCAGAGCTTTGCAGTCATGTCATTTGACATTTACTGTGGGATTTCGCTTTATAACAACTTTGACAAATTGTTAACTTATCGAAAATACATTTTTATCAAATACAACTTAAGCGACATTACATTATCGTTCCTTATCAAAATAACTAACATGTATTCTAGATTTATTGAAAGTGTAATTACATTTCGTACATATTAATAAATACTTTTTCACGTTCTAATTTTGTTCGAACTTTTTTCTACAGAAATATTTACAAATGGACACTGTGTATGCTACAATAAGAAATGCCTTTTGTCATTCATTTTGGTTATTTTTTTTTTTAATGAATAATCACTTAGGGAATGTCACCTATAGTTGTCCATTTTATAATTTTAATAAGGATTGGAATGGAATCTGGGAGAGTTATCGCAGTCAAAGTAAGTCGGTTGTGGTACTTTGAACGTTATCTTAACCGATTAAGAAAGCCAATCAATCATATTCGAGAAGCGGTATAGAGAGGGAGAAGAGTGCACTTTTTTTTGAACATCTGTTGTGAAAATATCTATATATGTATAAGAAGGACACAACATCAATTATGCCAATACCTAGAACTATCGAGAAATGTACACATATTTTCGTAATCTGTGAGCTTCTCTTATAATTATGAACAAAGAGCTTTACAATCAAGTAATGAAGTACAGTATAGACTCTTCATGTAAAGAAATGATCAGACAGTGCAATGCGTTGACATTAATATTACGATACAATTATTAAATTTAAGAATAGTTGCTGTATTATTATTTAAGCCAAGGAATTTGTGTTCTACACCAACAATTTAATAAAGGAAACAGAACTAAGAAAACGATGAATTAAAGAAAAAAATTTACTTCCCACAATAGGTGATTCGTTTTATATATACGTAGTATGTTTTGTTTGCCGACCTTACGAAAAGTAATATTAATAAAAATTTATTTTATATGATCAGCATAAACACAACCAAGGTAAAAAAGCGATGCCAGATAAATAATAACATATTTATAATTAAGACAAGTCAATAAAATAAAATTACGACTGTTTACAAGATAAGCGAACGAATGAATAATAAGACTTTACCGAATTTTATTAACAAAAAATTCGCATATATACTCTAAAAAAAGGTAAAGCGCCTGGAGACATCCATATTAACATATAAACGAGCATGTTTTATAAGAGAGAATTCAATTTTATTTGTAAGCTGCTTCTTAATTTATATAATTAATACCATCTTGCAGATGAATGAATTTTGGTAAAAATTTCATAAAAACTAAAGTCTTCGAAGACTTAATTTGCAGAATTATTAATTGAGAACGTTTACTTGAACAATTCTATGTTACGGAATGCATATAATTAGGAAACAGTTCCAAAGAGCATCAGATCGCTGTGGAATACTCATTGGCATCTGTGATGTCCTGAACTCTACTTCCACGCGCGGCCTAATGAATTTTTTTAAGATAAACATCCCTTAGGAAAATAATGAAATTTCACTTGACATTATCATCCTGACTTATACGACGTCGACGCAACTTATATCTGTCCCAGACGAGTTTATAATGGATGAGAAGGTAGCGTTTGAATGCAATAGACTTATGCCCTAAAATAGATCTGAATTTTAATTACCCCAAAATTTACGGAAGTATTTAAAGCATTTTCGAAGCGTTCATTAATAATTGTTCAACATGAAGCCTTAAGCAAATTTGCAAAATCAAAATAAGGTGCAAGTTTGAACACAGGGATAGGGTTCTGTTGCCTAATTTACTACGTGCGATCCTTTATTTTAATTGTTGAAACCATAATAAACTTGAATGTGAAGTGTAGAAAGTCCTAATCAGTGCTACTTCTATGTAATGGCAAATGTAGCATAAACGTGAAATTTATTGTCCCAAAACAGACTTGATGGCACACTAAGTTTCTAGAAAACGTAAAAATCTTGTCTATTAGTCAATTTATAGCCCACAACATGCTACGGAGTGAACACTAACTAAAAAAATGTTGCTTTATTTCAACCCATAAAACATATTCTCTGTCCAGGCATTCGGCTGTGTGCAGCGTAAACAAACAATGCAAAGTAATAAAAGCCTACTTTTGAAAGTTTCAATTAAGGAACTTTTACAGCTATGATTAGATTTACAATTAGGAGCATTCACTTACCGTCACTTGATACCATCCGAATGTACTGGGCATTAGTTTGCGGGTTTGTCCAAACTTCCCTTTTGGTATGGGAGAACCTTTACGTCGTGGTCCTCTTGTGCGTTCATCAAACTGTATAGTACGAGAAACACGTATCAAAAGTAAACGTTCCTCTTATTGACCACTCAACTTACCGTTGATGTCGTAGCTAGACCATCCATATCTTCATCATCTTCCAAACGCGTACGTACCGCCAGTTCTGCCAAACGACTTTTAATGCCACATTTCGATTGCAATTGCGAGGGTTTAAAACTAACTCTACGCGTTGAATTGCGTTCTTTTTTACGCATCATCTCGTCGCGGTTGTCATGGTCTGAAATATATCAAAATTATCACGTTTAATAATAAAAGGAATGTTAACTTTTTTTATAACAATTTCACAACTACGCACCATTTTGGTAGTCGTTAAGTGAAGAAAAGCGTGAACCACCGCTGCCACTATTATAACTTGGCCGCTGCAAACCTTTAGGTTTTGGCATTTTACAAATATATAGCTTTTTTAAATAAATTATTGAAAATTTTGCAATAACTTGGTTTTTATAATGATTACTTCTGCTAGAAAATACGCGCAAATACAAAAGTTTTTCACCGTAACAGCCGAAGAAGTCTTCGTTTTTTATTTTTTTACAATGAACAATTTTGTTACTGCGTTGGGGAAAAGAGACAAATCTTAGAATTATAAACACAGGGTGACCCGAAAAACCAAGAATTTCTCAAATTGTTGTTGCTATTTACATACTACATATAGTAAACGCAAGAAATATAAAACAATACATTTTCTATTATTTCTTCCCCACAATATGTCCAAACTCTCCGTGGCTAATTATATTTTCCTACATTCCAATACAATAATGGGTATTTCTTATGGGTTTGTATGGATTTCTTTATTTCACTATAAGAACAAGTGTTGTTGTCGTTTTTATATTTTAATAATTTTTTAAATACTTTAAATAATTCATAACAACTATATAAAGTGTTTGTTTATCAATGCAATTAGAAATTTAAAACAATTCTCATATCGCTTGAAGAGTATTGAACAATGCACATTTGCTGATGTTATTAAGAAGAGTAGAGAAGAGAGACAGATAAATGATTTTAGTATGAAATAACAAAGCGGGGATAAAAGAAGAATTTCAACGGAATGTATGCAACAATATATTAGCGAATATAACAGTCTTTAGTTGTGTTGTAATATTCGTTCCATTCCATTTTTACATTAAAAATTTTAATTTGTATATTATGAAATTGTAGTTACGTAGGTTTTTTTTTAGATATCAATGAAAATGATAAGTAAATTTGAATTTTATAGAAGATTAAAAAGCATGTTTAAAGGGCACTCCACTAAAAATGGGAAAAATTATTCTGAAGATCTTTTGACAGGAACCGGCAATGAAATTCCTAGGATTCCGGAACTAACATTTCAAAAATATGATCATATGTATTTTGTTGTTGCGAAAGTAACCAGGTAACAGTAGGCCTTCGGTTGATAGTCTGTCGGATTTGCGAAAGAGCTGAATAGAAAAGAATATGCTAAATTTTGCCCTTGTGAGAGTTAAGAGACAAATAATTAGAAACATTTCTTATCTTTATATCGTGACATGTTCGTCTATCTGGCATACAAAATATATTAAAAAAGAAGAAGATTGCTGTACGGAATATCTATTAATATCAATTTAAATTACAAACAAGGGATCGCAAAATACTAATATGTGAAAAACAGAATTAAACAAAAACATATGATTACATACACAATAAACGTGTTGGGAAATATTGTATAAAATTATTAATGAAGTAAAATGAAACATCCCTTACTTAATGGAAAGCTTGGAAGGTAAATGATAAAATATACCACGAATGTCAGAAAAAGAGATATACAAAACAAAAGGAAGAAGTCAAGTGAAAGGCTTCTTTGCGGAAATAAAATTCTGTTCAAGTACAAATAAAACTTTTTATTTTTATTCTCTGGACGGAAAACCTAAACGTTTTCATATTGGAATCTGAAATGGCTAAAAATTTTCCAAGCTCAAGGCTTATTAAACGGCTGCTAGAAGAAAAATATGAAAAATTTCACAAAAACGGCTGCTTACATGCTTGAGTTTATTACCGTCGATTGGTGTCACTGTTTTTGACTTAGCGTTTTCATTATATGCGACGATATCACGGATAACATTTTCTAGAAATATCTTCAAAACATGTGGGCTTTCTTTATAAATCAAAAAACGAATATCAAATTTTGCGTTATAATGTTACCATGAACCTGTACGCCCCTAAATTAGGTATCAACGAGTTTTTCGTAAAATATCAAATAATAAGAAAATAAGATGGATCAAGTTTTCTTAGGTTAATGATCTGAACTGTTTTCAGGCAATTTAGATTTAAAAGCAGCAGCTGAAGAAAGACGCCAACACAGCAGCTCCCGAAAATATCAATGGCAAGAATATTAATTAAAAAAAAAAATGCTATATAATTTTTCTTTTTTTGTAATTCACATCATAACTGTAAGTCCTATCCTATCCTAATAGACCTAAGTGGACCGGCGTTTAACTCTGAATGCTTTAATTAAGATTGGTGTACGGTCGTAGTTATAATGAGAGCTTGGCTGGTGGGACACACACATCTCTCGCGGTTTGGCTATCCGCTATCTATCCAATCATAATATTACACGTATATTTGAAACAGTTCTATATAGTGTTGAACGCTGATTCTATATTTTGAAGGCGATAGCCTCCGGTCAAGGCAACGCTTACCGCAGATATTACGGAGTGGGATGTTCTAAATTGCTTCAGAATTTGATACTGATTAATAGTATACATATATTTTATAGCATTTCTGAAGTTTTCTTATAGCTATTGCAAGCGTGTTGGCGAAATGAACACCACCCCACTCTTCGATGGTGGGAACCAAAAAAATCTTACAATTGAATAATAAATAATAAGTGGAAATGTTATCGTTAAGTAGCATTAGGTTGCTGTATGTAGGAACTCATTCTTGCTGACTCTGCATTTACATATGTTTAAATGTGAAGTTATCAAGTGTACTAAAGAAGAGCACATGCCTCTGCCATTTTTTCAGCATCATTTTTTTTTCTTCTTTCTGGGTTTTTTGCTCATTGCCTACTAACTACAATGATCCACCCACGGCAAATTGTTTCACATATATCGTACAAAAATTAAAAATAAATCGTCCATACCCATCTACTATTCGAGAGCATAAAAATTTAGTTTTTCGAGCATTTTTAGAATAAAAATGTTGGGTTTGTATAAAGGATTCGGTTATAGTCGTTCGAATTTAATTTTCAGATTGTCTCTATTAGCTAGGGATGGCGAACAACATGCTTTTCGTTTCAAGTTTCTATATGTACACCAATCTGGTGGGCCGTCACTGGACGTATGAGGGTTCGAAGCAATTTTAAAGCACATAGACTAAGCTTCGCATGCCTAGAAATGCATTGAAATTAAAAAAAAAATTAATTTTTGAATCCATAGAATAAACCTTCGAATGAAATATAAGTCAATGGAAACTTTTCCATGTTTTCTAAGTTCACACGCGACATTGTGTAAAGTCGAATGAAAATTATCTGTTTGTGAAAAAGAAGATCACTAGTTTTTCTCGTCTCTAAAGTACTTCTTTAGTTACTCTCAGTATATCTTCTTACACCAAATAAATTCAGAATGGTTGTCCACTATACGATTTAAGGTTGATGTCGTCGCTCCATCACAATTTTACATGGTCAGACGTTTTTTTTTCTAATATTTAATCAATTATCTTACTAACGAAAAGTTGAAAGGCACTATTTCTTCAAAAAATTTCAAGATGATGCCTTGCGTAGGAAAAATATTAGTTCAACAAAGCAGTGGAGAAGATTTTTCTATTTCTCAGAATTGCGAAAGTTGTCATAAACCGTTGAAATTTAGCGTAAATGCATAGTTAGTTGATGATTAAAATGTAGCCACCAAAATTATTATGTCTTAATCTAGTTATATGAAGAAGTAATGTAATAAAAGGCAAGAAATACATAATCTTTTGCAGCGGGACAAGATACTGAAACTTATGATATAGGCATCTAAGAAAATTAAATTAACGTAATATACTAACATGTATATCCTGCCACAGCAATAAGAAGAACCACTTACGGAGAGAAATTGTGGCATCTTAAAGGAAGATTCACGCACTTACATATATGTCATTAAGTTTACAATAGATTAACTTCTATGGCACTAAAGACATTATACTTTCAAACCTAAAAAGAAGACCTGTATATGGCACCACATAATCCTGATCACTATTTTAGCTTTTCTTTCGACACACAAAAAGCACTTCCTTACCCGAAGCAAACTCAATTGCATATTAGAAACGTGATTTGTACATTTCTCCACTCTCATGACGATACCGCTGATAGGTATGTAGGTACGTCTCGTTGGAAGTAACAACATGTATCTTGAAATGCTGAAAAGCTTACCACAGTAACAGAAATATATAATAACAACGGCTTTGAGATGGTTAAAAATTGTTTAGTCTACCGAAAACTTTTTTGCTTTTCAATGGACTGTTGCTTTTTTAAGAACTGGAAATAGTTATTTTGTTAATAAAATATTGTTTAAGTTATGCATATGGCATTAGGTGTTATGGTCAATCAATCACACCATCAGATTAGGTCTCTTTTATCGACTTCATCGCTCTCTGCCAAGGGGAATATGTTACTCGACTCGTTAAAGTTTTTGGGTATGACCCGCAAGATTGAGTATTCTTTTCTTTTAATTGCATGTTTATTTTACAACCTCTCAAAGAACATGATAAGTAAACGTTCTACCAAGATGAGAGCAGAGCTTATTGTCGCCCAGTGAAAACAAATATAACGGTGCAGACATGGTGCTTAAATAAATGGAAAAAACTTGTGTAAGCTTGGAAAATTCTTCTTCTTATCTCATTCGATTCATCTGGAAGAGGTGTGATGAAGCGAGTGACATGGTTATTCACTCTGACAAGAAATTTTGAGGACGCGAAAGCGTTAAATTACATTTGTGACATAACATGCACTATACAGATCCTCAAGAATAGTTCTGTTGCTACTGCGAATCATAGGGCATTAATAAGAAGAGCAAGAGTTCTAGATTATTGTTTTTGGGAAGTATTTTACTACTAGAGTTATCGGCCTCCACAAAGATGGTTAGCTTGAGAGGTTTAAATAAGATATGAAGTTTTCAGCTTTCCCTATATAATTTCTGTACGAATTTGGAGCTCTGTCGTTAAAGAGAGCAACTCCACTGGTTCTTTAAGATAGTGGAAAACTTTTCGTAAATAATGCTCCTCCAAGTTAATGTTGATCTATTTATTTTTTAACTCAACTATACGCAAGCGCAGACCTCTTGTAGCTCTGTTGAAACTCCTGGAACTCCTAGAAGATCCCTATTGTTTTGACTTTGTCTTCCTCTTCCATCTCTTTCCAATCGTTAGTGTTATTTCAAGGCTAGTTATTGCAATAACTAGGCGGTGAATACGAATTATAAAATCTTTTAACGCTTCATCTATTTCCGAAGAGTTTTTATCACATTAGGACCAGGGAGTCAAACTTGATTTGAAGCCCGCCTGGGAGCGCTTGAAAGAAGTGTTAAAGTTGATTTTTAAAATCCATT